TATTTCTTAACCTCTTTGATAATGCAAAGTTTTCCCTTGTAGAAAACATTTGGAAGTAGTCCACTTTTAATTTTATTTTCTGTCGACAATGTCCTTTGAACTTTTTGACAACACTTCTAACAGTTCTAACACTTCTCACGTCCAGTTGTATTCTTGGTGAATCTTTACATTATGGTAACTTGGCGATTTTTTGGCGAAAATTTTGCGACCAACCCTGCTACAGCAACCAATTTTCTAGTTTTTTTGACGCCATTTTGTTTTCACGAAGTAAAGGCATTTTTTTAACTCAACATTTTTTTCCAACAATCTACTAGCCGAATTACGCTTATACTAGAACTTTTATGGAACAAAAATGCTTAATCATGACGAAGATTAGGTGCGAAATTGGGAGATAGTGAAGAATAGCAAACTGCTTGCCGCGTATTTAAGAATTGCACATACACAGTATCCATGTACACGTCGACCTATTTTCACTTAAAAAAACATCCCAGAATCGCACAAAAATGGCATTGCGCACACACTTGACTTTATCTATCGACCTATTTTCACTTAAAAAGTCAAAGAAAATTGACAAAAATCCAATTCTTCTTACTCTTGTAAAAAGCGCCAAACAAATAAGTGGGCGATCCTGCACTTTAGCAGCAAAATTGTTTCTAAGTATTATTAGCTAAAAAATCACGACCGGAATTTTCCGGAAAAAGTCACGTTACATGTCTCATGATCTTTCATTTCTCTGAGACAAAATAATCTGTGATTCGAACTGTGTAATCCTCAGATTATTGCTAAACTCCTAGCTAGTAAGCTTTATCGCCTTACCAAAATATAGCCAAACTACCTGTTACCATATTCTTAAGATTAGCCAAAAAATTGCCCCAACAGGATTGGGAATGGTAAAAAAATTGCCCCAACTGGGGTGGGAAAAAATTGATCCAACTCACGTGGGAAAAAATTGCCACAACTGGGGTGGGAAAAAAATTGCCCCAACTAGGTGGGAAAAATTGCCCCAACTAAGGTGGGAAAAAATTGCCCCAACTGGGGTGGGAAAAATTGCCCCAACTAGGGTGGGAAAAATTGCCCCAACTAGGGTGGGAAAAAAATTGCCCCAACTGGGGTGGGAAAAAAATTGCCCCAACTAGGGTGGGGAAAAAATTGCCCAACTGGTGGGAAAAATTGCCCCAACTAGGGGGGAAAAATAGCCCCAACTGGGTGGGAAAAATTGCCCCAAATGGGTGGGAAAAATTGCCCCAACTTGGTGGGAAAAAATGCCCAACTGGGGTGGGAAAAAATTGCCCCAAAAAAAAAAAAAAAAAAAAAAAAAAAAAAAAAAAAAAAAAAAAAAAAAAAAAAAAAAAAAAAAAAAAAAAAAAAACTTTTCCCCCTTCGCAATAAAGGAAATGCTTGATAATTTTAGCTGGTCATAACGAACACAAGAGATAATAAACATGCAAATCTAATAAAACTTTCGTTTTAATATGCCTTTCACAAAATATACAACAAAATCGTAAATTTGGATGTCAAAAATGTATTGCCAAAGATCATACAACAAAATGAGGAAACAAAATTTAATATTTTGTGTTTATACCTTTTGCACTCATAACGGCTTGTAATCTATTTCTCATAGAGAAAACCGAAGTTCTGGTTGTTGTGAAGGTTCTATTGGGAAAAACCAAAGTCCTGATGGAAATTCTGTGACACTCCTCATTATACAAGTTCATTATTACGAAATTTTATGTTTACTGACTTCTATGCATTCGTAAATGCACGAGACGTGCAATTTACGAATGGCCTTTCGTATAAAAAACGTTCAAGTTGAACGTAAAAATATCATAAAAAGTGTCCAGTGGCAATTACTAAATATTTACGTATATTTTTACGTTTTACTATACGTAACTTTTACGTAAAATTTAGGTATATTTACGCGAGAGACTACTGTTCATTCGCATCTTTTACGTATAATATACGTAAATTTCAGGGATTTACGTATATTTTTAGTAAAAATTTACGTATATTTATCGCATATACGTAAATCTCAAATTTTTGCTTCACGTATGCGTATATATTTAGTAAAAATTTACGTAAATTTCCCCGATTTTTTACTGTATATAAACGTATATATTAGGTAAAAATTAAGGTAGATATTCCCCGTATTTTACGGTACAAAAACGTATATATTTGATAGAAATTAACGTACATATTTCCCGTAATTTACGGTACAAAAACGCATATATTTGATAGTAATTGACCTAAATCTTCCGTTTTCTTTGCATATGCGAATGACTGGTAAAAATTTAATCCGATGTATTCTCCACTTTACTGTGTATAAATGCACATTTTTTGGTAAAAAATTTGCATAAATCTCGAATTACCTTTTCACTGCATTTTTCATAAAATGTACTTATTTTAATCTCATATTTTTTATATAAATCTAGGCAAAAATTTTCTGTATGCTATGATTAAAAGGTAAAATAATTTTTATATCAAATTCTACTTACTCTGTCCTGCTTTTAGTTATGTACAGCTATACGGAATATATATAACTGGAAAATTTAAATGCACTAGTAAATGCAAAAAAAAATAAATAAATAAATAAATTTCTATTAAAAAATTACGTAACACTTAAAGGCTGAAAATGACTTTTAATATTTCATTTCAAAGTGACTACAAAATATGCAATAAATTTAGTAAACATCAATTCTGTGTTTTAAATCAATTAATGCCATCGTTCATTTGCATTCAAAAATGTATTGCCAAAGATCATACAACAAAATGAGGAAACAAAATTTAATATTTTGTGTTTATACCTTTTGCACTCATAACGGCTTGTAATCTATTTCTCATAGAGAAAACCGAAGTTCTGGTTGTTCTGAAGGTTCTATTGGGAAAAACCAAAGTCCTGATGGAAATTCTGTGACACTCCTCATTATACAAGTTCATTATTACGAAATTTTATGTTTACTGACTTCTACCCAGGCAGCATGCATTCGTAAATTGCACGAGAAAAATACGTGCAATTTACGAATGGCCTTTCGTATAAAAAACGTTCAAGTTGAACGTAAAAATATCATAAAAAGTGTCCAGTGGCAATTACTAAATATTTACGTATATTTTTACGTTTTACTATACGTAACTTTTACGTAAAATTTAGGTATATTTACGCGAGAGACTACTGTTCATTCGCAACTTTTACGTATAATATACGTAAATTTCAGGGATTTACGTATATTTTTAGTAAAAATTTACGTATATTTATCGCATATACGTAAATCTCAAATTTTTGCTTCACGTATGCGTATATATTTAGTAAAAATTTACGTAAATTTCCCCGATTTTTTACTGTATATAAACGTATATATTAGGTAAAAATTAAGGTAGATATTCCCCGTAATTTCATAATTTTAAATTTAGTAAAAAACTGTAGCAAACAGTTGTTTACTAAATAACACTTTAAATAAATTATTTGCTTTTCTGAAGGACATTTTCTTATGCCATGTAAATGAACAATAGCATTAATTGATTTAAAACATAGAACTCAGGTTTACAAAATTTATTGCATATTTTGTAGTCACTTTAAAATGAAATATTAAAAGTGATTTTCAGCCTTTTAGTGTTATGTAATTTTTGAATAGAAATTAATTTTTTTGCATTTAAATTTTCCAGTTATATATATTCCATATTGCTGTACATACCTAAAAGGTGGATATGTAAAAATTTGATATTAATTTTATCTTTTAATCATAATATGCAGAACATTTTTGCATAGATTTATATAAAAAAATAAGAGATTAAAATAAGCACATTTTACGAAAAATGCAGTAAATAGGTAATTGGAGATTTATGCAAATTTTTTACCAAAAATGTGCACTTATACACAGTAAAGAGGAGAAGACATCGGACTAAATTTTTACCAAAGTCATTCGTATATGCAAAGAAAACAGGGAAGATTTAGGTCAATTATTATCAAATATATAAGTTTTTGTACCGTAAAATACAGGGAATATCTACGTTAATTTCTATCTAAAGTACAATATAGTTAAAATTAACAAATTCAGTAAACGAATGTAGCACAAAAGAAAACATCATACGTTTAGATTATTGAATGAGTGTGCTAAATTTTAAAATTGTTAAATATAGACCAGGAAATTGTAGAAAAACTTACCTTTTCCAATAGTTTACCAAGTTGACTTTGTTATTTTCCTTGAAGATGAATGTTTAATGTCACAAATATTTCATTCATATCTTCAGATAATACACAAATCTATACATATTTATTTATGAAAATTCAGTTTATCCCAAACATGTTAAAGAAAATATTAATTTGCATGCAAGTTAATCGAGTAACTTCTGTTTTAATTACACACATAATTATGATATGTAAAAATTTTGCATTTATCAGTCAATCTTGCAATGTATTGTAATCTATTATTGTTGTCTTTTTCAGTTTAAAATCTTATAAATATATTAGATCAGTACTAAAAGTTCACCTCTACAAAAGAAATGCTTTACTGAGGTATTTTTAAAAAGTTCCCTTTTACAATGTATCTGTTAATTTCATAAATAAGTTCATAAAATTATGCAAATTCAAAATTACCTAAATATGTTCTTTATTTTATCTTATATACCAGATAAAATTTTAAAAAGTTAATTTGTTTAGGAATATTTAAGTTTTTAAATATTTATCTCGTGACTTTTTCTATAACATCATTATAAATATACATGTTGATGTGCACATACCAATTATTTTTTTTTCATCAAATAACTTTATGGTATTAAATGATTTAAAAAGAGGTAACTGGATAAAAGAAAGCAATTAGAAGTTGGCTAATTTTTTATTAATTTGTTGTCAAATGCTGTGCATTTTAGATTATGCTCATATGATGACAATGAGTTATTTAAATTATAAATTTATTATGAACATATCCCACATAAATTAACAAGTCTAAAATTTCAAGTTGTTTGAAGTATTATGAACTGTAATACTTGCAAAAGAAATACACATGAAATTAATTTAAGAATTAGGTTTATTTTACAGGTATTCGAAAACTGCAATTACTGTTAAACAATAAAAACTAACATTAAATCTGAAGAGCATATTTTTTTCAATAATAAAATTCCACATAGACTTCATGTAGCTTCGCCATATTTTTTCCATAGTTCGCTGTCTTTAATATCCTGCTCGATTTTTGTAAAAGTGAATTCTTTGTCACCCAATGTTTTGAGAACAGCTCCTAAACAAGAAAAAGAAAAATCTGTAATAATTTCACACTTCAGATGTTTTCAGTTTTTAAATATAGTTGAAGTATTAAAAGATGCATATAAAATGCACTGAGTATTTCATATTTAAAAATTTACATTTCAGTAATTAAAAATTTAATTTCATACTATCACACAGTAAGCTTCAATTATATACCTTACACAATGCCTATAATTTCAAGTAAAAAATACTTAAGATTTGTTTAGAACTGCAAGGTTGAGAAAGTCTTTAGTATTTAAGTACATGACTTACTTAATTTTGTATTAATTATATTGCATTAGCCTTTTCAATTTTACTCCTACATATAGTAAAGAATATTCGTTTTCTTACAGATAACTTTTTCTTAAATAAAGAGTAAGCAGAAAACTAATCACACACACTATATATACATATAACAGAATACTACTTCATAACATATACATGTCATTAACATACGTATATGCATTAACAGGCTATTTTACACATTTCAATAAACCGGAAACCAATACGCAATCAAAAGTATTATCAGTAAATTCCTCCAAAATCAGAGCAAAAATCTTTATGATAACAATGGCATCTCAGTTTGCAATATAAAATATTTCAAGTCTACATTCATGTGCATTCTAAGCAAACAGAAAGCTGAATAACAATAAAATTATAAATACCATAAAAAAGTTAAGAGCCACGTAGAATGATAGCAAGACTAAATGAAGTCTTCCTTCAAAAATCAATTTAAATTCAAAAATTTGCCTTCCTGTTTAACATCTCAAAATAGAGTTACTGCTTACACTAACTAAATTTTGTCACTTCTGTTGCACTAAAAATTGTCACTTCTGTTGCAGGAAATATTTGCTGCAAACTTTGTATGCAAATAATCCAGTGAAAAACTTTTAACTGTGGCTTGAATATTTTCTTTATTAAATAAATGAAAAATTCCCACATAATATTAATTTATGATCCACATGAAGCTTTTTACCTCTACCATATCATGCAGCTATTTTAAGATATATACTCTCATATAAAAGCCACAGAATTTTTTTACCAATATTAATATAGTATAAATCATTAATAAATCTTCTAAAAAACAGCCCCAAAAATTTCTGAATTTGATACCCAAAACATAATTCTACGTAACTGTTAATGTATGCATTTGCTTGCACATACTTAAAATGAATTATACACACAAAAACTTAACATATTAACTTTAAATTCTTAATTAGCAGGATGACTCAATTAAGGCAAAATATGAAAGAAATCTACCTGATGGAATAGTTGTAAAAGATATATTAAAAAAAAGCTAATATTGTTTACCTTACACATGGCAGAAATTGAGTAAACTGTATGCAGATGGATTATTTATTAGGAATAGAAGTTAGATCAAAGTACCAAAGTCACACTAGGGCTTTAACCATTTGGGTGCAAAGAAGCATCTCAATTTAAAAAAGAATAATTTTAAAAAGCTAATAGAATTTTATAACTTTTACAATCTAGTACAAATATTAGACACATAAACCACACTAAATGCCATTATTTACTTGCATATTTTCCTTCTTTGTGTACTTTACTCCTTAATTTTTCAGGATATGATTTAGAAACAGAGTTATGGTAAAAATGTATACTGGTAAAAAAAATATTGCTGAAACTGATAAGTCCTTTGAATTATATACTATAGTGCAAAGAGGGATGGAATATGTGACTAAATATGATAAATCAGATTACAATAACATTAAACAAATACATGAAAAACTGAAAAAAGAAATTTTATTTGAAATTATTTTTTAACTCATGGAAAGACAGACAGTATTCCAACTTATTAAATTCAATTATATTTTACCTTCGTCAAACCAATATTGGTAAGAGAGTTGTTGTACTTAAATCGGTGCTAAGCTAAAGCTGCTTTCTTGCCTAATTTTATACTATTGAAAAATACCGGTAATTGTCAAAGTTATTCGTACTCAATATGTGTAAGATTATTAATGAGCTGCCAAACCGCAGTTAACCATCTAATATACTACATTCAACGTTATTATTTTTCTTTTTGAATGTCAGGTTTTCATTATTCTGCCAATATATCTGTAACAGGACATAAAGATTGAGTTAATGTAGAATAGAAAATTACCTTGCAAGTTAGCACCTTTACCTTAGTGGCAGTACTTCATTCTCTAGAAAAAACTTTAAATTATTATACTTAAACAAAAAATTCATATTTGTTACAGCAAAACATCATTAACACAATAAACCAGAGTTGAATGCAAATCTAGTTTAACTTCATTCTTGAAAACTAGTTTATTACTTTCAATTTAATTTAAAAATAATAAAAAGTAAGGTACGTATTATGATGACTACCTAGATATCTCGCCTAAACTGGCAATCCTTGTAGGTTATACAGGTTAACCCTAACATAGGTTATAGAGGGCACTAAGATAGAGAGTATTAATCCCACACTAGGGACTCTAACATTTGGTAGGAACAGTTTGAACAGTTATACGTGTTTGTGCACTTGTAAGTTAATTGTTTTGACATTTAACGTGAAAATAATTATTTCAAGATGCCTCGCAAGAAGATTGTTGCCTCAGATAGTGCTGCAAAGAAAAATAAGGAGGCCATGGCCGCTGATATCAAGAAAGAAATCATAGATAAACATAAGCATGGTGACGGAATTGGCAAAGACTTGCGGCCTTTCAACATCGAAAATCTATACTATTCTGAAGAAGCAGGAAGAAATTAAGAAACCTGATGCAGCCAAAGGAATTATCGTTTCTTCCAAGCACTATAAAAGTACTCCTAGATGTTGAGAAGCTGTTGTTGGTGTGGATTAATGAGAAGGAGTTAAAATGTTGGTAACAAAGTTAAACTATTGTTATATTATTTACCAGTGTTATTTATTAGGAAAAATTGACTTGATTTTAAAATGTTGATATTTTTTGGGGTGTGGAACGGGTTAACTGAATTTCCATTATTTTCAATGGGGAAGCTTGTTTCTAGATACGAGAAATTCGCCATACCAGTTGAATGCTGGAACGAATTAAACTCATATCTCGGGGTTCCACTGTAGATATGTAAGCATGTGTATATGCATGTATGCGCATATATGTGTAAAGTATACACATACATACATAAAGAATATATACATGCACACACGAGCACCTACATTTAAAAATGCATGCATATAAACACACATTTCTGAATCTGGTCCTGATAACAGAAGAATACCTACCTGAATCATAGGATTACATTAATCAGTTTTTATTAGAATTCGTTAAATGCAGAGGATTTACATTAATCAGTTTTATTAGAATTTTTAAATGCAGAGGATTTACATTAATCAGTTTTATTAAAATTCTTAAATGAAATCTTCACTATCCGAAAATTCAGTTTCATTTCCGGCTGAAACTGTATCAGGACAATCTCATTTATATTATTTCCCTCTAATAACTGAACATTTTGAAAACCTTTTCTATTCCATGGAAAACTAATGCTAAATTAAACATACATTTTCTAAATCTGAAAATTTTAAGTTAGCTTAGAAACTGTAATCATTCTTTAAAAAGTTTGATTTATGCAGATGTTAGATCAATAAAATTACTTTCCTGTGGAAAAGTATATGGCATTGAACAACACGATTTTACACATCAAGATATACTGAGTGGAAAATACCTGAAATGTTTATTTCTTGGTATCTCTGCAAGAATTGTATAAATAAGACTACCTCCCTTTTAACAAAAAATTTTTTAGTAAATACTATGAAGAAAATTGGTTACATTATTTACAGTTCATAATTAATAGAAAATAAATCATTTCTTAGCTTATCAGAATTTATTTTTATCACATTCATAAACAGTACTAATTTAAACAAACATACCATTATGATTTCAATAACTATGAAATAGAAAATCCAAATCTGCATCTTTGATGGTCTAGTAGATTGGACGTCCCGTTTACTACAATTCAGCAGGGTGCTGACTCCCCAGACTGTAATATATATATAATTAATTTACAAGGGAAAAAGCAACAAAAATATAAACAATTTCTTGGTTTTATATAAGCATTTCTCTGCACATTTACAATTTTAATTTTTTTAACTAGCTAGTTATATCAAAATACATGATTTAGTAAAATATAATTCAAATAATTTAAGGTATTTTAGATCAAATACTAATTTTTTCATGCAAGTCTAATAATCAACATAACTATCAAGTTTTTACTTCGAAAATTATGTTTAGAGCACCTTGAAGCTGCAGTAAATAGTAATAAATTTATTCAAAACTGAAAGTAAAGCATTCCTCCTACTTGATCGGAGCGTAGGTAAATAAATAATAGTGTTAAATGCGAATTAAAAACCGATACTATAAAAATAATAATGGTAAATAATTAAAACCGATAATTATATAATAATAATGTTAAATGCGAATTAAACCGATAATTATAAATAAATAATAATGTTAAATGCGATTAAAACCGATAATTAAATAAAATAATAATGCATAAATGCGAATTAATGTTATGAATTAAAAAACCGATAATTATAAATAAATAATAATGTTAAATGCGAATTAAAACCGATAATTATAAATAATAATAATGTTAAATGCGAATTAAAACCGATAATTATAATAAATAATAATGTAAATGCGAATTATTAAAACCGATAATTATAATATAAATAATAAATTAAACCGATATATAAATAAATAATAATTTAATGCGAATTAAAACCGATAATAAAATAATTAAACGATAATAATGTTAAATGGGAATTAAAAACCGATAATTATAAATAAATCATAATGTAATTAATTATTATTTTTTATATTTTTTTTTCCCTTTTTGCTTTTCATTTCTTACATATATACGGATAATTAAATATAATAAGAAGATTAATTATTATTTTATGTTTTTCCCTTTTGCTTTTCATTTTTACATATATTGTTCGTAATTGGAGTTTCAATAAAAAAATTTAAATTCCCTTTTGCTTTTCATTTTTATTTTTAGAATTAAAACGGATAATTAAAATAAATGATAAATTATTAATGTAAATAATAAATTAATGTATGTAAATTCGGTGTCTCCTACTTGATCGAGCGTACGCAAATAAAAAGGCGACCCACCCTTTAAGGAATGTTCCTCTTTTGCAATCACAACTCGAAAATTATAAATCAGAGAATAACTAGGCAGGATTCTGATACTTAATTTGGAATGAACTTTGCAAGTCATTCCGTAGCGTTTAAATTTTTTTCATATCTTGAATCTCTTACTATCATTAAATAAGGAAGAAATTGCAGGTTAAAAATGTATAGTTCTCACAATGTAATAACGACAGTACTTGCAACCTGTGCAGTCGCACGAAGAGGCATGGTTAGGGACAGAAAAAGTTTGGATTTAGAAGTACGATTGACATTACCAAACGGCAAAGTTAAAGGCAGATAGATTTTTCTCTGTTATTTACACTAATAAGCGGGAGGGCAAGAACGCCTTTTCTAATTGTTATTTGAAATTAAATTTTACAATTTACTTTACTTTTGCTTTTAATTTACTTTCTACAGCATTCATTACGTGAACCGTCAATAATAATATAATAATGATAATAAAAATGGTATCACACAACTAAAAGTATATACTACTACTTCGTAATTTCGATAATAATTACTGAA